AAATATTCACCTCAATTTCAGTCTGATTTGCCGCTAACTGTGTTGAAAGATGCTGTCTGATAACAGCTTGTTTCTCTGGGTTGTAGATTCGACGAAAGTGAGTTTTTTTGCTCCTTTGTGACAAAAATACGAGTTCGTTTCTTGGGCCGATCAAAAGACTCTGAAACAAACAATTAAAAAAATCAGAAAAGTTTGTGAAAACACGTATTTTAAAAGTTATTCCAAGAGAAGTGAATGTTCATAGAACAATGTCAAACAGTACTTGTTTGCCTCGATAGCATACCAAAAACCTCAAATTAATTCATTATAAATGTAAATAAAATGTTTTTAAAGTTTACACGAGCTGTCTAAAAGTACAGTCATTTCTGAAGAAGTACATGAGCGGTTTTTTGAAATTACAGTCAAATCTTCTGAAAAAAGAATTGAAGTATATGTGAAAAAGAGAATGACTTACCGAAGTCTTCAGTTTCAAAAGTGTGCCATGATTTATGCTTTCTGCTGTGGTATCCCATAACAACTTGACTGTATATTTGTTGTTCTTGTTGCTGTTGTTGTCGTAGACTAATGACCTCGAGCTGAGCCTTTGCCTTTATAAGGATTTGATTCAGACAAGCGAACAATAGCTATTGTTTTCCATTGTTAACGTTAGCGCTTTTCTTATTGTTTATTTTTACACCGACAAAAATGAAGCGGCCGACAAGGAACATAAACATGCCGACATTAAAATGTTCGGTCGGCGTAATAGCGCTTTGTTGTTAAAAGTATTAAAGATGGCCGCCATGGAAGCTCGACCGACCAGGTTGCAAAACAATAGTATGCGACCATTAAAACAATACCGCACATTATCATGCATCCGAATGCAAAATGTCGAACAATTGTCAAAAATTTTATCCAGATAAGCATTCATTTGCTCGATCGAACTTATAAACGACATCTCGAGCCAATCTCTGAGAACTATTAGAGCAAAAAATGATCTTTAGGAATGTGACGTAAATTTGGACCAGTCAAAGTACTAGTTACTAGGACGCCGCGTTTCTTACGTTTTCCGTCAAAAAAGAAGAATACAAAAGAAGAAATAAGAAGCACAAAAGATTCAAGACGAAGCGTCGAGCATAAAGCTCAGCCACACCCAGAAACTATTGCCTTCTTGCGAAAGCATTGTACACTAGAAGTGCAACACTTGAAGTATCATGATATAACATAATAGATATTAACGAGTTTGTAATAAAATAAATACCTGATAGAAAAAGCGTTTTCTTTGCAATCTGTCTGTCATGAGTGTTTTATCCATAACAGCTACTAGGTTACAGAGCAGCGTTTTGCATGTGCATCTACTACATTATCAATGCAAAAATCCTTCAATATCGATTGCTTTCAATCATTCCCATGAGTTTCAAAAGATAAAAACCGACGTCCATGTTGCTTGAATGAACAATAGATACTAATTAGAAATCCTTTGTTGAAGCCTAATCAAGATGACCGCTTTTGCTTATTTTGAAAAAAAAAGTTCCGTCATCATTGTCTGTGATAGCCTCCTCCGCAGGCATCACTAAGAATCACGGGCTTCCTGTCTTTTTGATGAGTCAAAAGAGGGAGAATGGGGGCGAGAAAAGGGGTATTTTTGCTATCTCGTCACTAGTCCCTAACGGCCAAAATGACCGTTACAAAGGAAGCCCAAAGGAGGAAAAAAGAGTTGCCTGTGGAGGAGGCTATGTCTGTGATATATTCTTACATTGTGTTGAACCAGTTTTGCGCTTTTAGAGCGCCTGCAGATAGTACAAGAAGTAAAATACCGAGACAAAAAAATCCTGCTCTTCGACTACAAGACGTTTTTATCCCATTCACTTCAAGTAAGTGTTTCGTTATTTCCTTGTTGATTTGTATAAATGATTGCTTGCCCCGACTTGAATTACCACAAATTTAATCACATCCACAGACTGTCTCTTCGTTCATCATGAAAACAGACCACAGTTCGGTTATTTCTGGTGTAAGTTTGTTGGTATCTTTAGTGTGTTTGGCTGGTGTACTCCATGTCGAGTACAAGCTTTACGAACACGTACAAACTAAGCATGTTGAAACCAGTCATGACGCAGCGATGATGAACACACTCGACAAAGAGAAACCGATAGGTAAATAG